CCCCAAAACCCCAAAACCCCAAAACCCCAAAACCCCAAAACCCCAAAACCCCTATGATGAGAACTAAAATTGACGGTCATTTAATTAATATAATAAAAGATGTTTTTGAAAGAAGGCAGACACTCCATGTCTAGTCTATTAAATCACAGGTACTATTTTTTGCCCCTTCAGTTGTCCTATCACAGACTTGCCTTCGTGCTGACACTTTTTATAGAGCAAAGTTGTCTCAAAATACTCAGGCTTTAAAATATTTCTCTTCAAATCAGGTAAAAGAACAAGACGTTTTTAAGGTAAACTATTGTCTCAACTCCTATTAGAAGCCTTTACCATTTAAAGAGGAATCAGCAGGCACTTCTGAAGTAAGTATTACAAAATGAAACCTTCAGCCAAACCCTTTGAGAGGAAGAACATTCAATAAGCTTACCGATGGTGTTCATGTGAGGTCCTCTTTTAACTATGATTCATTTCCCATGAAGTTGTACAACAGAGGTATGAGACAGTAGGATAGATGACAATAACCCAAATCGCAATGTACTATATTCACTCAGCAGCTAGGCTTTGGGAGGGAACCCTCAATTCTGTTAGAAAGACTTCGAAACTTAGAATTCTCATTTTCTTACTTTGGGCTCGTTGAATCACAGTGAGATTTACTTTTCTCATCTTTGGAGAGGACTTTTTATGGTCATAAATATTTCTTAATCAGTGTATATAAGCCAAAATAGTCAAATTAGACTCTCTCTTATTCTCCATGACTAGCCTTAAATTTGTGCTTTCAGAATTCTCTAACAATGAGCTAACAATGTTATAGGGCCTGATATTTCCGAAGACATAAATCACTTGATTAACTCCTCTTCCAATGAGGTGTTCAATATAAACAATAAGGATAAATACGCTTTGCCTCAAGATAGTAATTTCATGTTGGTTTACCTCTAGATAATCACTTTCACAATCTTAAGGATCTTCAGTGGGACAATGCGAACTACTCTGTGGCTAAGGACCTCGATTTCTATCAACACAAGCTGAAGAGAATAGAGAATAAATATCAGAGCAAGGACATCATCCCTCAGTTAGCTAATAATTTGGAGAAAGTTATGGATTATAAAGGTATCTTCCCTGTTGAGAGTGTGAATGAAATCAATCAAGGTAGACTAGGAGATTACTTCCTGCGACTTCCTCAGTACTCACAGATTGATGAGTCCTGCATCCCACCTTATTATCCACCCTCACAAGATAAGCAGCTGTTGAAGATAGCAGAAGAACATGGAAGCAGGTTTGTAATGTCTACGAGTACGATTACATCTGTTCTGGCTCATATGTATTTCATGATTTCGAATTTTAAGAGCCCTCATTTCGCGAATCTCAGCTATGCTTACGACAAAGAGCCACTGAAGTTCATGATTTCCCAGAGGAAGCCCAACAGTATATTCCTTAAAATGATTGACCCAGAGAAGAAGATCTATGCTATTGACTCTGACTCTGGCTTCTCAGAGCCCAGCAATATGGTACTTCTCAAAATGGGGAAATATATGGAGAAGATGCTTCAATACGATGCTGAGGAGTTCAGGTCGATGACAGGGCTCAAGCCGGGCACCACCCCTCAGGAAGACAATGAGCAGGATTACTTCAAATATTCTTTGTACAATAACATCCTTCTTAGGTCCCAGATCGATTGTCGAAGAGTTGAGGCAGATGGATCAGAAAGAGTCTTTGAAATCAAGACTAGAGCTGCAGCTGTGCTCAGATATGATATTGAAAACTATGTTGACTACCTCGGGTATCAGATTATCAAAAAGATCGGAAAACACTCCTCATTCGAGAGGGAGTACTACGATCTCATCAGAGGAGGTTTCCTAAGGTACATCATGCAGTGTAAGATCGGTGGCATGGACGGAGCCTTCATCGCATATCACAATACTCAGAAGGTCTTCGGATTTGAGTACATCACTCTAAAAGAAATGGAAGAAAGAATTTTTGGGTGAGAGGAATACTCCAATCTTATCTTCCAGGCAGGCCTGAAGCTAATCGAGAACGTTCTGGACCACATCCTGTCCGAAGTAGGCGAAGACCCAAATCAAGTCCTTAAGCTTGGGTTCTACTCGAACGAGAGTAAAAACTCCCTTGATATCTTCTGAGAAATAATGGATGATGACAAGGTACTTAAGGATAGGACAAAGAGTATATTCACTGAGAACATCGAGGAGCCGATAGATTACTACGAGAGCTTAGGTATTAAGCCAAGGGTGATAAAGTTCACTGTGGGGGTGTACCCCATCATCAACGGGATTCCCATTCATTATTCCCCAATTCTATATGAAAAAGGAGATACCCTAGATGTAAGTCCAGTGAAGTTATTCTATAGATCAAATACACTATTGATAATTACGGAGTTGTCCAGTTTAACGAGTACATGACCTTCCTGAGCGAAGCTTATAAGTCCCAGAAGATCAACATTGACAATGAGTATGCAGGCACCTGGAGATTCGGGTTCTAACTTTAAACATCAATTCAATTTGGCCAGAGCTTCAGGGGTTTTGGGGTTTTGGGGTTTTGGGGTTTTGGGG